ATTTAACATACCCCCAAAACCCCAAAACCCCATCTTTTAAACTAGAATTAATTATGAAGTTTATTAGTAAAATTAAGTTGATGATAAATTAATGAAATCAATTATTCTTAATTCTTGTGTATCAGTTGTTAAGTGATCAGAGTTTAGATATTTTGGCGAATGAGTTGGCTGTTTTATTGAGTGAACTCTGCCCAATTTGAAGTTTCTTAGCAAAACTATTGATTAGTTTATAGCTTGCAAACGATGAAGATAGATTTGAGGTGTTGTGATTTTCTTTTGAGTTGTTTTTGCCAGCAGAAGATAACGAACTCTAGTTCATTTTAATGCCCTTTAAATCTGAATTAAGAAGATAACTCTTCGGTGTGGTAACCTAAGTCATAATAAGGGCTCGTTTATCACTAGAACGATTGCTTGATGCTGATTAAGATCTTTAAATGAGAGCCTTAATCTCTTGCAAAGTTTCCTTTGTGTTTATTTTCTCAATGGTAAGATTCTGTAAAAGCAGAAGTGGAGGTTTCTTAGCTGATTATGCTCTGGGTGGTAATTGATGATTCTTTTGAAGATTGTTTGACCCTTATGTCTAAGGGTTTTAGTGCAATTATTTAGTGCTTATGCCTCCTGCAACAGTAGAATTCATTGAATACTTGTCTATCTTCTATATACTTGATTTTTAAATAGGAGGCTTAAATGAATTTCTATCAAGTTTTGAAGTATTATTTGGTATATTCTGTGTTAAATTAAGTAAATTTTTCTAAGCTATCATTGTTTAGTTTTTACTATGTTGGCCTCCTTTTGTTTCCTCCTTTAATTGAGGCTTTGACTGATCAAGCCCTTTGTCTAATTTAACTTTTACCTCATCAAATTATCTCATAAATTTAGCTACAAAATTGCTCTCTTACCTCTCAAAAGTCAAGAGCTTGCTATACATACATTTATCATTGTTGACTTAATTTGCTACTGAATTTTTATCTAGCCCTATTTAGTATCATATAAAGTAATAGTTCGATTTTTTGGAATAACTTTAGTTTTCCCCTTTAATCTCTTCACCATGTCAGCTTTGCCTTGATTATGAGTTTCACTAATATGTTTATCCTCAACAGCTTGTTCTTAAGACTTTTAAATTCCATTTTAATTTTCCTCCTAATCTTCTTTCTGCTTTTTAATTAGTTAATTCAAATTTTAATCATTATATGACAGAAATCGCATGTACTTGTCTTAAAACTTCTTTTATTTTACATTTTAAAGATCCTACTCATCTCTAATTGGCTAGAAATCAACATCACTAAATTCTCTTATTATTGGTATGACAGGAATTTCATTTCGCTATGCAGCTTATTTAAGCTGCAAGAGAACAGTCCCTAAACTCATATTTGAGTGGTTCAAATTCACAGGTAAAAATGTGTCACTTTCTTTCTTTGAAAGTGATTCTGGTTCCTATGCATTAGTTTATCGTATTAAGAATTTTAAGAATTCTCTAATGTTCAGGAAAATCAATGGAATCTCAATCTTTTTTTATAATCTAATTTAAAAGCTCTATTTTATGAGCTCTAAAGTCTTTTTCTTCTCTGGTGGTCTATTTTGCTCTGGCTCCACTGTTTCCATCAATGCTTTTAAATTTCGAGAAGATAGTGGGTTTCCATCTTCATCCATAGACGATGGCTATCTTCTATGGATTCCAACCCTTTGATCAGGTTTTAGAAATTAATCTAGCCTGTGATCGTCTGTGCTTATGCTTCCCCCATATTTTTTCCTAAACATATGCTTGACTGCCTATATCTAAGAATGCTTGTCCTTGTAATAATCTAGCTTTTAATAAGGCCATACCTATCTATACTAATCAAATATTTTCTCAATTCTATCATCTACTGTTGTTTCGGTAATATCTCTTATTAGAGCTAACTTGTATGCGTACATATTAGTTTGCTCATTCAAGCACCATTTAACTCTTGCAAGTTGTGCTTTTACTCTTGCAAGTTCTCTTTTAAACAAGGAAATTTCACTCTTTCTCTAGTAGATTTCCCACATATCTTTTATTATTGAATCAGTTTTAGTATCATCATCTTCGAATGCAAGAATAGAATCCTCTAACAAATATGAATCATTTTCTTCATAATTTTGCTGTTTTATCAATTGAAAATAGATTTATCTTGAATTTTTAATGTTTTTTAGATTATTCTCTTTTTCTAGTCTAATTTTATTTAATTCTTAGTAGTCTTTAAGCAGCAAATTCTATTGTATTTAGACTCTCTCATTGAGATTAATAATGATATTTTCTTCAATAGAAAATAACTCTGAGCTCGTTTGTTCTAACAATCTTCGGTGCAATTACTCCATTCTCATCATCATTTCTTATTCACTAAACTATTACGTGGATGCAGTAGATTTTCTAAAACCACTTGAAGTACTACTTGACATTATGTGATTTCGAGAACTTGTTGAGGAATTTCTCAATAGAGGTGGATTCCTTAAACCATTATTATTATTTTGAATCGTAGTTTTCTTCAGTAAACCTGATCATTTATGTACAAGCCCAGCACTTTGATTAGCAGTAACATTGATCTTAACTAATTATAAGGTTGCTTCTTCCTTTTTTATTCTATCTAATGCTTCAACCCTTAACCTGATCTTATCTTTTAATTACTCGATGTCATCTTAGCTTTGATCTAATTCTTATATACTTGACTTCTGCCTATCTCTTCGTTCCTTGATAAGTAAATATTTCTCAAAAAGATAAGCCAGATCTATTTGATCTGATAGAATTTTAAATTCGGCAAAGTTATCTTTATTAACTGCCACCTCCTTTTTGATTATATCAACAGTATTGCTAATTAGTACAGCACTCTATTTTTTCAAATTATCATATTTCCCTTGACTAGACTCTGAATGTTTGGCATTTGATGAATGTGCCCCTGGCCTTTGATTTTTCATTTTTTGTTTGTTTGCCTCATTATCATCCTTTTCTTCTTAGTATTCATTAATTTTATCTTTTAATGTATGAATAAGTTCCTTTTTATTGTCCTTTACTTGACTTTTACACTGCTTCATTTTCTAATCTTGCACCTTCATTCTCATATCGCTAGTCTGCTTAATCCTGTCCAGAATCGTATGAATCTTATTCTAAAACTCAAAGTAGGGTCTAATTTCATTGACTTTAGCATTATCATAAGTTCTTTGCTCTCTAATTGTCAGAAACATGCTGTATAACATTTCTTTATCGAAGTCTGCAATTTCATAATCATAATATGTTTCTGAGATTTTTTGCAATAAAATTTCTTTTTTTTTCAGCAGATACTCTGTATTAAAAACTTCGGAATTCATACCAGTATCATGAGCATTATGCTGCTTTTTCTATCTATATTAATAGGGAAATAAATATTTTAAATTTTACTTATTACTCTTTGCACGCATCTTCTTGTTTAAAACTCAACCATCTTCTATGTGAATTATACTATCCTAATCAAATGAAGTATTCGCTGAAAATGTTCGATTATACAGCAGAGTTTAGCTCAAAGTATTATTTTTACGGCTAAAAATGGCTTGACTCTAATTCACAAGTCTCTTATTAGATTCATCATAAACATCCTCTTATTTTCTCACTCTTTTAAGCACCTACTTCTCTTTCAGAAGTTACTAAAGATGCTCTGATTTCTTACAACATTCGAATTTTAACTGGTTCAATTGCTTTTTCAGCTGTTAATTATATTATGAAAATTTTTAATTACAAGAGTGATATCTGTAATGGAGATTACATCATTAGTTGTTAAAGATTTTAAGTTATTTTTGCTTGTGGGTACTGTCGGAGGCTTCTAAATTTTTATCATTTAACAATTTAATATAATAATTATCAACGTCCCTTTAAAATTTGAACCAATTATATAACTTTAATTGCAATTTCCTTCAAAATAATAAGTTTTCATATTTATTCAAATTTCAAACATTATTTTCTACACGGGGTTTTGGGGTTTTGGGGTTTTGGGGTTTTGGGG